TAAGGTTGACGCTGACGAGACGTGACCTCACAGCCACCTTCAACCACCCAGCAGACACCAGCAGCAGCAGGCACGGCAGGAAAACTTGATTTAAAGGCCACTTTCTTCCAATGAGGGAAAAAAGTTTTATGTAAATGTGTTAGTCAGTTCTTATCATCTCAGTGCCACTCTGTGAGAATTGTCAAGTTCCATTTTTAGTTTCCTATATACAATTAGACTGTCCTGTCTACCCGCGAGCACGCAGAATTTACCTCCGGCGCCGTCACCGCTTTAACACTCTTACTTATTTTCTGGCCTACGGCTCCACCATTAACACAGACTTCCTCTGACTTTATGTTAGCAACAGCTTTACCACACCTACTTTGATAGACAGGTAAAGTAACTTATTATATAATACACTTCATAAATTCTAGTAAGATTAGGTTAGGATGTTAGTTTAGTTTTAGTGTTAATTAAAAACATGTATATCAAAAGTTTTCATTATTATGATTGACAATGTTTTTATATTTTCACTGTTTTTCTCCATGTTTCTCTTTCACTCTCCTGATCATTAAATACTAAAGAAATAATCCCGTCACGGAAGATTCCATAATGTCTTATGAGAAGCTCTTAATCTAAGGAATTTGACCTGTGCTCCCCTTCCTTGGATTGAACCTGAATGCCTCCCATTTCCCCCAGGCTCTGTATGACCCCTACAGGTTTAACGCTCCCCATGGATGTAGTAGTAATAATAAAGAAATAGTATTTTTGAAAAAAAAACTATTGGCAGTCCAGTCAATTACAGTAAGTAGACAGCTGCTGCTCAAAACTCTATCTGAAACTAACATATTCTCACACATAATTCATGACACGTTAATAATAATAATAATAATAATAATAATAATAATAATAATAATAATAATGTGTCCACAACTTACCGGGATGCTGTAGAATAAACCATTATGAATCCTACTTTCAAAATTCTCATGGCCTTATTTTAATTTTCAGTGCCTCATATATAATCCATTGCCTTATGAACTACGGAGACTTAACAACACACTGCTGAAACCAATATAAGGAAAGTTCATGGGCAATAACCATGAGTGGACAATTTAGACAGTAAGTATCCTAGGCACACATCACCAGCCTCCATCACCAAGGAGCCACACAACACGTACAGGAAAAATAATTTTAAATTCGTATATTAGGTTGCGTTCCCAGATTTGTAATAAATTTAATTATTAAATAGCATACTAATTCATAGAATAATAGCAACACGTAATTCATAGAATAACGAAGTTACATCATATATTCTATAATATCAGAAAAGACTAAACTATTAAGTTTCAAATATTAATCGACTTCTGGTGGTGTGGATGACGTTGCTAGCCCCAGGTCTGCCACGCTCTGCAGCCCCAGTACTAGGACTTACAGTGTAGTAAGAGTAATATGTGGTTCTCCTCTCTCTCTTAATATCTTCAAAAATTTTCAAAACTTCAGTACAAGTGTATTGAGTTAAATACAATTGTAGTTTCCTCAAACATTTAAAATGACAGTCTTTGTGTTGCGTCTACACCTCGACGACCTTGAACTATTTTTGACCTGGTGTCCTCATTACTGTCTCTACATCTGCTATATCATGATTAAGTAGCACTATTCAGACAATTTAAAGAAATATTCAAGTTTTGATTGAATTTAACAAATAGAAATGTCGCACTCATTTAATCCAGGTTAATTAAACATAATGTACATTTTATGTATCTAACATCTGTGTTCCCTCAAGAACAATATAAAAAAAGAAATTTTGCTTTTTATGTACGATAAACCTAAATAAAGATTTAATTACATAGCTTTAGAACTCAAGTGGAATGCTTGGTGACATCATTGTCTCGTTTGTGAAGCCCATCCTGCGTGCTAAACCCATGTGGGTCATTCAGCGCGATGCAGACGACCTCCTACCTTCCTAAATGTCATATAAGTCAAGTTAGCTGTATTTGTGGAATGACCCGTGTGTCCATGCTCCTTCTCCATAGAATAGTTAATACACGTAAAAGGGGTTTCTTACAGTTCTTGATGAACACAGTTTCCCCGAGTCTGAGCCTGGAGCAGAGTGCATGGCCATGTCATTTATTGCTTTTTCAAAGTCCTGTGGCGTTAGGATTATATCAGAAATTCTTGAATTGACCAAATTTGGAGTCTCGGTCATAAAAATTGCATTTAGATTGTCGACCCTTAGTCCGATTACCGCTAACTAACGGCGCTGTTAGTAAGATACTGGGAATTTAGTATCTTACTAACAGAAACTCAGCTCCATTATTCGAGGAATACAAAACTGAAACTAAAGAAATGCAACTTACCACTATCCAAGGTGTTATTAGCAGGCAGACACAGGTATGGTTCCTTTCTAGTGATGTAACTGTTCAGTGAGGTCTGAAAAAGACCTATTGTGACCTCTGTAATCCTGTATTTTTACACGTTTAATATCTTTATTGTGCACCTCATATCCGTCCTGCTGAGATTTTCTGTGGGAGTCTATCACTACAACTGCACTGTTATATTTTCTCTCATTGCCCGGCCGACATTTACATACAGTGTCGTACACCTGGGCCTTTTATCTGACAGAAAACCAGATAATTTAAAATTTGTTGGATCCCCCATTTGCAGTTTCATATCATTAAGGCAACTACGTTTTTTGAAAGTGCGTTGTGATCCTTGGTCCAGTAATGTAGTTACATTTTTTGATCTATGCCTCCTATCCTGATTTTTTACATTTACCATGGGTAAGGCTACTGCAGCTATGCCATCATCATTAACAGTAGCTGCAATTTTTATATTAGTAACTGTTGTGTCAGGGTCATCAGTATCATTATTATCATTATACAAACCCTTACACATTACTACATGATGCCTTCCTTTGGGGCATTGATAACAATTATTCAGTTTGGCATAACAATCCTTTACATTATGACTGCCTAAACATCTGATACATCTGTCATTAAATTAATGATTATAAAATTAAAGCCGGTTACTCTGGTACAATGAAGTTTAGTGGACTGTATAGGATGTTTAGGCAGTCATAATGTAAAGGATTGCTATGCCAAACTGAATAATTGTTATCAATTACCTGGAGTTTACCTGGAGAGAGTTCCGGGGGTCAACGCCCCCGCGGCCCGGTCTGTGACCAGGCCTCCTGGTGGATCAGAGCCTGATCAACCAGGCTGTTGCTGCTGGCTGCACGCAAACCAACGTACGAGCCACAGCCCGGCTGATCAGGAACTGACTTTAGGTGCTTGTCCAGTGCCAGCTTGAAGACTGCCAGGGGTCTGTTGGTAATCCCCCTTATGTGTGCTGGGAGGCAGTTGAACAGTCTCGGGCCCCTGACACTTATTGTATGGTCTCTTAACGTGCTAGTGACACCCCTGCTTTTCAGTGGGGGGATGGTGCATCGTCTGCCAAGTCTTTTGCTTTCGTAGTGAGTGATTTTCGTGTGCAAGTTCGGTACTAGTCCCTCTAAGATTTTCCAGGTGTATATAATCATGTATCTCTCCCTCCTGCGTTCCAGGGAATACAGGTTTAGGAACCTCAAGCGCTCCCAGTAATTGAGGTGTTTTATCTCCGTTATGCGCGCCGTGAAAATTCTCTGTACATTCTCTAGGTCGCCAATTTCACCTGCCTTGAAAGGTGCCGTTAGTGTGCAGCAATATTCCAGCCTAGATAGAACAAGTGACCTGAAGAGTGTCATCATGGGCTTGGCCTCCCTAGTTTTGAAGGTTCTCATTATCCATCCTGTCATTTTTCTAGCAGATGCGATTGATACAATGTTATGGTCCTTGAAGGTGAGATCCTCCGACATGATCACTCCCAGGTCTTTGACGTTGGTGTTTCGCTCTATTTTGTGGCCAGAATTTGTTTTGTACTCTGATGAAGATTTAATTTCCTCATGTTTACCATATCTGAGTAATTGAAATTTCTCATCGTTGAACTTCATATTGTTTTCTGCAGCCCACTGAAAGATTTGGTTGATGTCCGCCTGGAGCCTTGCAGTGTCTGCAATGGAAGACACTGTCATGCAGATTCGGGTGTCATCTGCAAAGGAAGACACGGTGCTGTGGCTGACATCCTTGTCTATGTCAGATATGAGGATGAGGAACAAGATGGGAGCGAGTACTGTGCCTTGTGGAACAGAGCTTTTCACCGTAGCTGCCTCGGACTTTACTCTGTTGACGACTACTCTCTGTGTTCTGTTAGTGAGGAAATTATAGATCCATCGACCGACTTTTCCTGTTATTCCTTTAGCACGCATTTTGTGCGCTATTACGCCATGGTCACACTTGTCGAAGGCTTTTGCAGTCTGTATATATTACATCTGCATTCTTTTTGTCTTCTAGTGCATCTAGGACCTTGTCGTAGTGATCCAATAGTTGAGACAGACAGGAGCGACCTGTTCTAAACCCATGTTGCCCTGGGTTGTGTGATTGATGGGTTTCTAGATGGGTGGTGATCTTGCTTCTTAGGACCCTTTCAAAGATTTTTATGATGTGGGTGGGATGACCCGTGTCCATGAGGCATGGTTGACAAATAGGCAGCAGAGAGTTTGCATATATGGGGAGAAATCAGAATGGGGGCACGTCACAAGCGGTGTTCCACAAGGGTCAGTGTTGGGCCCCTTGTTGTTCACAATTTACAGAAACGACATAGATGAGAGAATAAATAGCGACATAGCAAATTTGCTGATGACACCAAAATAGGCAGTCCAATTCATTCTAATGAGGACATTAGAGCACTCCAGGATGATCTGAATGGACTGATGCAATGGTCGGAGAAGTGGCAGATGCAGTTTAATATAGACGTGACTGACTTGGCTAGGTCAAGGCATTGGCTTAAGCCGGTGGAAGAATTGGCCGTGCCTCGCATAGGCCAGTAGGCGTGTTGCAGTGTTCCTTCTTTCTTATGTTCTTTCATCGCCCATCTTTGGGCAACAAATCTTCCCCGAACATCGGGAAGTCGGACTCGATACGGCGTAGGTTGTCAGTGGCCTCTATAAACCCAACTAACAACAACAAGCAACACGTTAGATAAGAATCAAGTGTTTAGAAACTACACATACTTCGAAGAAATTATACGTATCATAAAAAAAACTTTCATATCCCTAAGAAGAAGCTGAGGGTATTCCAAAAAAGAACAATGCTGTTGAAAACCAGTCGATTTTTTCTTCGAACTGGGAGTCCAAATATTCCCACCAGCAAAGTAAATCGGTATTTAAGAACACATTGTGCAACTTTACTTCCGAGAGGATATACGAATTATGATCACAGACACAGTGAAAGGATTCCTGAAGTCCAGCATCCTAACAGGAGTCCTAGGGTGCATAAGGACTCACGCTCCATAGATAGCGTTGACAGTGTTGTCCTGAAATATACAAATATAATCAATGAAATACGTAATGTTGAGCCGAGCAGTAGCAAAGTACATTTAACCAATTTTGGTAATATTCGCTTTGATAATGAAAATGTGCCTGAAGTACATGGCCAATATGACAGCATTTATGGCCCTGTAATGCCAGTCGGATTACAGGAAATGTTATCAAGTAAAGATGGTAAGAAAAGTCAAGCTGAAGATGAAACTAATGCTACAGAATATAATGCTGATTATGAAGATATACCATATGTTTCCCATTTATCTGTTCCCATATTACAGCAGTCTGGAGAACATGCAAGACTTAATAAACCAGAAGTAAAACAAGAGAGAGAAACACTAACTGGAACTAGTAAAGCAGTGGAAGAACATTGTACTGATTCTAATTTTGTGGATGAACTGTACTTTGGAGCAGCCGTTAAAAATTATTCCAAAAGTGATGATTCTTTGAGTACAGAAATTAATATTGCACCATCAAATGATACAACTGTTACTGCAGGTCTTAATTATATAGACGAGTGTGTATTTGGTGTTTCTATATCAAGATTTGATGAACATTCTTCCTCTAGTGTAAATGAACATACTCACCAATTTGCACCAAATGATGATGATAAATATCAGAAAACTGAAACAGAACAACAACAGGACAATGATAATCTCAATTACATTGATAACCATTTTTTTAAGGATTCACTGCAGTCCTTATCAAAAGAAAATTCTTCAATCAATAACAAAATACAACATACAGAGATTAAACAAGATACAAAAGCATTGGCTAAGAAAGCTAATGAAGATATTATTCTTGATTCCCCAATAACTGTGAATTTGGAAAACAATATTGAATATGCAAATCTTACATATTTAACACAAAAGCCAAAGGAAAATGAAGTGTTGCATAAATCATATACAAAGCAAAATGATAAAGTAAAGCCTAAGGTTCAGAATATAGAAGTTCCACCAAAATCAGCCTTTGATTATATTGTTAAAATGAGAAAAGATTTGCATAAAAAGGAACATGATATTCATCCAGACATTGTGGGTACAAATAAGAGCTATAAAAAAATTTTGAGTCTATTGAGTGTGAAGTCGAAGGAAAATTTTACTAAATTTGAGGTTCTTAAAACGCTGAAAAATAGTGTGATATATGATAAAGGTAAGTTTTAATATTTGTTAATTGTTTTGTTTGGAATTATAAAAAATTACTAAAAGCATGTATCATGAAATTTAGTAGAGTACCTTAAACTTAATACAGCACTTCAAATTTTTCTTTTAAATTACTAATCAAATGTAAAACTGCAGTAGAGTGGACCCCCGGTTTACAATATTATTTCATTCCAGAAGTACGTTCAGGTGCCAGTACTGACCGAATTTGTTCCCATAAGGAATATTGTGAATTAGATTACTCCATTTCAGACCCCCAAACATACACATACAAACGCACTTACATAAATACACTTACATAATTGGTCACATTGGGAGCTGATCGTAAACCGGGGTTCCACTGTATATATATTATAGTAATAACTTATTTTATTCCTTTTATTTTTCAGATGATATTGTTGGCTTATACAAACCATATGGAATAGCTATGCACAGAGGAACTAGTGGTCATCAACATATTCTTTCAGATTACCTTCCTGACTTAGCAAGATATTTAAAAGCAGATGAATTGTACCCAGTACACAGGCTTGACTCTAACACCACAGGTATATATTTTAATGATTATTTAATTGTTCTTGGATGACAGACTGACCAGTTTATATGATCTCTGTAATTAGTGTTCATGTTTATTATATATGTATATGTATAATCACTAATCAGGATGATTCCCTAAATGTGATATCCATAAACCTATTTGTTTATATTTTAAAAGTGAGCAAGATTTTCTAATTGTTTTGTTGAGTATATAATCCTATATGATTATTTGTTAGTTTGGAAATCTAAAATGAAACTATAATGATCGTGTATCACAATATTGAGGACAACATTTGAATAATGACTAATGGGATGTATTACATAAATAGTAACATTTGTTAGAATATACACTCTTCTTAGTCTTAACATTCTACTATTCTTTTATTCATGCTTTTGTGAGTCATATTCATATTTTGTTGATGAAAAATCTATCAAGAACTTGTTTAAATTAGTGCCTGTATTCACATTTTTTTAGCAGTATCCTGCCATCACTTCAGTTTAGTAATTTCCTGCTGTTCCAGGAGTGTTACTGATGGCACGCACGCCTTCCATGGCTGATATTCTGAAGAAAATGTTTAAGGAATGTCAGCTCAAAAAGACTTATTGGGCTATCACAAAAGGCATTCCAAATCCACTTCAAGGTAAATAACTAAAAGAGTATGACTAGCAAATATTAAGAGAGTCTTGCAGATCTTTAAGCATTAATATAATTTTTAGATCACCTGAAATTATTTCTGGATATTAATTACCTTCCCAGTTAATCTAATCATAAGATTAACCACCATAGATGACACCTAACTCCAACCTACTTCCTGTCCTTGTCACTCACCTTACTACTTTATAATATCCTGGCACCTAGACACCTTGTATGACTTGCTGGAGCTCTATAATCAAAGTTTGCTCTGTACCAAGTGTTTTTCTACTTACCTCAACACTACCTGGGGAGGACGAGATAGGGAGTAACAGATGTTCAGTTATTTTATAATCTCAACATAGTATTATTAAGTTCTTTTATAAATGATGTGTTTTGTTTTCTTGGCATTTAATTTTGCTGAGTGCTTATAATGTTATAGCTTGCTTATTTAGGCTTACTGAGGGTACTTTGAAAAGCTTCATCTAGATTTTGAAGCATAATTAAAGTTTTGAAAGAAAGAATTGCAGCCTCTCTGGGTGTATAATAAGAAACTAATATGCACATATATACTCTTAGAAGAAATGGAATGATAGGTGTAGTAATGAGTGGAAAGTAGCATGCAGTGAAGGAATGTCATACACTGTTTTTTCTTTTTTCTAAATGCTTACAGTATTCCTAAAAAGATTGTTATTGCAGGTGTGATTGACATTCCAATAGCAGATGGTCTGATTGAAGGAAAACATCGCATGGTCCTGTCACCAGACATAAAAGGAATAAAAAATCCTACAAGTAACAGCCATTTGGCTGTCACTTCTTTTAAAGTAAGTAAAAAAAAAAGAGAGAGTATGCAGTAAGGCTCAGTCCTCTGTTCATATGAGTCTAATGCCATACCTCATGCTATGTTCACATGCGTCCAGTACCACAAGTCGCCCCCTCCCAGGGCTACATGCCTTCACCCATACCATGCCTCCAACCTACACCGTGGCTTCATACCTACACCCATACCATGCCTCCAACCTACACTGTGGCTACACGGCTTCACCCATACCATGCCTCCAACCTACACTGTGGCTACATGGCTTCACCCATACCATGCCTCCAATCTACACATGCCTTCTCTGCCTATACCACCAGCCCCTATAATATCCCAATGGCCACATGCTTTCACCCACACCATTTCAATTAGTAACCTCCACCCACACAATTCCCTTACAGCTACACACCTTTACCAAGACCATCCCAACCAAAAACCTACCCAGCACAGTTCCCCCTTCAACTACGCCATACCCTCGTGGCCAGTTTTCCCTATGACCTCATACCCACATCTTATCCGAACACGCTGTCTACACATCTAATCACTTAGTCGACCACAACCCTTATTACCACTTATGCCACCAACTGCATACTCATCCATCATCCAATCACTACCCACACCAAGCCACTGACAACCACACCTTTCACCCACACCATTCCCCTTCATCTTTAAGTGCACATGGCCCCACTTCCATGCTTTCACTCACACCACTTTCCTACAGCTTCTAGCCTACACAACCCTATGCCCACACCAACTGTACAATCACCCACCCATCATTCACACTACCATCCACACCAGGTCACCGATACTGTCATCCACACTGTCACTATCACACTGCCTTGTTGCTTCTAGCCTCCCCCCACCCCTCCACTGCCCAGCATCCTCCAACTAGCCATTCTAATATGCAGTCATGAATGAGGTGATGTTATTTATACAATTATTACAATATTGCAGTAGTCTGCATAACAGTAAATCTTCTATTTTTTCTTTGAATAAAAAATCAAAATAGAAAGCAAGAGTAATATCAGAAGGGCCTGGAGATATGACTGATGAATAAAGGAAATGTTGTTTTAGAGCCAGGAATGTCTGCATTGTTCACTCTGGACCCTATTTTGAAATTGGCATATTTTTTAATTTGCGTGAAATTGGCCAAATTGCCAATTTCTGACCACTTTATTGGGTAGTTGAAATTGGTAAATGGGCAATTTCTTGTACTCAGTCGATAGGACAAATGGAGTTCTAAAGAAATAGTTATGAGTTTGGTCGACTGGAACAATGGAATTAGCCGAAAATAGGGCTCAAAGTGGGGAAAATCGCCAATTCATAAATATCGCCTAGGTCGCTAACTTCATGAGAGCGTAATTCCATAAATTTTCCATCAAATTTCGTACTTTTGGTGTCATTACTATCGGGAAAAGATTCTCTGTCATTTCATAAGGAAAATTTTTTTTTTTTTTTTTTTTTTTTTTTTTTTTTTTTTTTTTTTTGCGACACCAAGAGACACCTCAGGATGTGGGGTTGCGACAGTCAAAGGGTTAATCTTTGTAAAAACATAATGTGTATAAGAGGACCTAAAATCAGAAAACTCCAATCTCTGTCAGCTACTTCGAAGCTACTGTTAAAACACAAATCCTTTTGCTAATGTGATCCTAACAACAATTAATTATGCTGAACAATTCTTTCAACCTGTATTATCCCTATCCTTGTCTATCATTCCTTCAACTCATGTATCACTAATTATAATTTTTTTATTGAATTACTAAATACCTCCAGTATAATAAAAACTGTTCTTATTCTCATATACTTGCAATCATAATTTAGTTTTAAAGCTGCCCGAATGCTTTGCATAATATGGGGCTTTCTATAGAGAAATTTATATTTGTCAGTCACCTTAATTGTATAATATACTGTACTCCACTTTACAAAAATAAGGCTCGTTACCCACGACCCTCTACCCATCCCTCACACCGGTGCCCATCTGATCATATGCTCCAGTGCCACATGAGACACAACAGGTGAAGGAAACATGGGACAGGAGCAACAGCATTCACTCGCAGGACACACTCACTCCTTCACTCAAAACTTCATTCATCCTTCATCACCCAGTACCCTGTCCTCACTCACTAGCTCACATGCTCCCACCCACTAGCCTGAGAGACAATAAATTTGCCCTGAGGCTCACTGTGAGATGAAGGGAAAAGAACGTGACTCATGCCACATTTTCCACTGCATGTGCTCTACTGTGTCAACCGATTTTCTACAGTGTGTTCTCAGAAAATGTGCAGCAGTGTTATAGCAAAAATATGTTAATAGGTAGTGTGATATCCAATGGTCTACTGCCCCTGTAATAATATAAAGCTTCCATCATTCACAGGTATTAGCAAGCAGCAACAGTGCAGCATTTGTTGAGTTGTCACCAATGACAGGGATCAAGCATCAGCTGCGTGTACATCTTGGCTTTGGAATGTCTTGCCCTATTTTAGGTGATCACAAATACTCACACTTGAAAAAGTTGGCTCCACAGGTGAGTGTCTTCTATAAGTTGTCTGCATGAAGTTTCCAAAATAATTAATGTGTGTCTGTCTCCTTGTAACTAGTTATTTGCTTGACTCTTCTCCCGTTTTCTAATTTTTATTACAGTATTTAGTTCAATGATGTTTATAAAGGGATAATGTGTAAATAAACTGTTCTGTTGGATTTTCAATAATTTTATTCCTTTTATTATCTCTCCCAGCTGTATCAGGTAGATGGGCTGTACCATTACTTAATATATATGGCTTGTTATTACGTATTTTGTAGCACTGTACACTGTTTTCCACTAGCACCATCAAAAATGACAAAATGTTATAAATGTATGCTTTCTTGTTTCAACAGTTTTTTATTAGATTTTTTTGAAGTTCTGTCACCCAAATTTCCTACATGGAAATAATAATAACAATAATGTTAATAATTTATTTCCTCATGATGCATAGTTTTTACAAAATTGATTGACATTTAACAGTACAATTGGAAAGCCCTTAGTTATGTAGAGCATTTTGGGTAAGCTTAAACCTAACTTAAAACTAATAGAACATAATAAACATCATACATATATGTATACAAGTATTAAAGATATTCATAAAGACATAGAATAAAAAGTAATTGTAATGAATATAAAAAACATACATGAAAGTAGATATAAAATGAAGCATGATACATGACAGTAAGAAAAATTAATTGTTTTCAGGTACAATTTTTTTTATACATTAGTTGATGTTTGATACAAAAATTAAAAAATTACCTGTAATGATGTTAATAGCCACTCATCATCTTGTTTATCAGTGCTCAAAATCAGGCTTTATATGCTCTTACATGCTACTATTATTTCTACCAGAGATATGATCATTTTGACCAAAGCTACCATAAACACATAAAACACCTCCCTTCAATATGTGTACCATGTGGTGACAGTTTCAGGAAGATGAGCACCAGAGACCTAGTGCATCAGTTGCAGAGAGGAGTGTGTAGCCTCTTAACAAAAATTAATGTACGGTGGACCCTTCATTTTCATCCGCTTTTTTGGCTGAAATTCTATTCCAGTTATCAGCCATTATTTCGGAGATCGGGTGTACGTATTGGCAAAGAAAGTAGAAATCAAGGAAGTTAATGTTGCAATGGGGGTAAATGTGCTAACAAAACAAAGGTCACCAATAATGGAAGATGTGGAGAAGTTATTGTTGGTATGGATCACCGAAAAACAATTAGCGGGAGATAGTGTTGTGGAGTCAATCTTTTGTGAAAGGCAAGGCAGTTGCATGCGGATCTCATAAAGAAAAATGCCTGGAACAAGTGATGCTGTTAGTGAATTTAGGGCCAGCAAAGGTTGGTTTCAGAGATTTAAGAAGCGTAGTGGCATACACAATGTAGTAAGGCATGGCGAGGCTGCAAGTTCTGAAAATGTGTGGCCGAAGCATTTGTTGATGAATTCAAGGGGTACATAGAGGCTAAGGATTCTTCCCCCAATAAGTGCTCAGTTGTGACGAAACAGGTCTCTTTTGGAAGGAAATGCCAGAGAGGACCTACATCACACAGGAGGAAAAGGCACTGCCAGGACATAAGCCTATGAAAGACAGGCTTACTCTTTTGTTTTTTGGTAATGCTAGTGGGGATTTCAAAGTGAAGCCTTTACTGGTGTATCACTCTGAAAATCCCAGAGTGTTCAAGAAAAACAATGTCATCAAGAGTAAATTGTGTGTGTTGTGAAAGGCTAATAATAAGGCATGGGTCACAAGGCACATTTTCATTGACTGGGTCCATGCAGTGTTTGGCCCGAGTGTAAAAAAATGCCTCCAGGTAAATAAATTGCCACTCAAGTGTCTCTGGTACTGGACAATGCTCCTGCTTATCCTCCAGACTTGGAAGACCGGTTGTTTAGGGACTTGAGTTTTATAACAATGAAGTTCTTGCCTCCTAACACCACTCCTCTTATCCAGCCCATGGACCAGCAGGTCATTTCTAACTTCAGAAAACTCTACACAAAAGTAGTGTTTCAAAGGTGCTTTGAAGTGACCTTGGACACTTACTTGACCCTAAGATAGTTCTGGAGGAATCACTTCGGTATCCTCCATTGCATAAGCCTTATGGGTAAGGCTTGGCAGGGAGTGACTTCCAGGACTTTGAACTCTGCTTGGAGAAAATTGTGGCTAGAATGTGTCTTCAACAAGGATTTTGAAGGGTTTGAGGCTGATCCTGTCGATCCTCTGCCTGTTGTGGAATGTATTGTGTCTTTGGGGAAGTCCATGGGGTTGGAGGTGAGTGGCAAGGATGTGGAAGAGTTGGTCGAGGACCACAGGGAAGAGCTAACTATTGAAGAGCTGCAAGACCTTCATCTGCAACAGCAACAGACCACAGCTAAGGAAATTGGTTCAGAGGAGCGAGATACAAAATTTTGTTGAAAAATATCACCCTGACCAAGCTGAAACATGCCATAACTGCAACATGTTTAGTAACAAAACCTTGTCCCACTTCAGGAAAATCTTAAAGAGATGCAAGAAACAGAGTTCTCTGGACAATTTTTTGGTGCCACAGGGTTGCAGTGACTCTCAAGCTGGTCCTAGTGACAGTAAAAGACAAAGAAGGGATGTAACCCCAGAGAGGGCTTTAATACCTGAAGTCCTTATGGAGGGTGATTCCCCTTCCAAACAATAATCAGTCCTCCCTCTCTCCTCCTCCCTGTCTTCAATAAGCCAACAAGAGTCTTCAATAAAGGAATAGTGATTTAAATGTTCATTTATTTATTTTATTTAGTTCTCATTGTTTTGTGTATGTAAAACTATAATTAATCTTTAAAAAAATTATATTTTGTTTATATTTTTGGGTGTCTGGAACGGATTAAATGTATTTGCATTAATTCTTATGGGAAATATTATTTCAGTTTTAGGCCGACGTTCTGGAACGGATTACAGCCAATAACTGAGGGTCCACTGTACTTAGAATATGTTTAAAGAGGAGTCACTTACATATTTTGACAGGAATCAGTTTTGCTGAAACAGAAGTTAGTTTTTATTTGTCTTTATCATACCTGGAATTTCTTATGCATAAATTCTGCACAGAACATGTTTTTTTTTTTTTTTTTTTTTTTTTTTAACACACTGGCCGATTCCCACCAAGGCAGGGTGGCCCGAAAAAAGAAAAACTTTCACCATCATTCACTCCATCACTGTCTTGCCAGAAGGGTGCTTTACACTACAGTTTTTAAACTGCAACATTAACACCCCTCCTTCAGAGTGCAGGCACTGTACTTCCCATCTCCAGGACTCAAGTCCGGCCTACCGGTTTTCCTGAATCCCTTCATAAATGTTACTTTGCTCACACTCCAACAGCACGTCAAGTATTAAAAACCATTTGTCTCCATTCACTCCTATCAAACACGCTCACGCATGCCTGCTGGAAGTCCAAGCCCCTCGCACACAAAACCTCCTTTACCCCCCCCTCCAACCTTTCCTAGGCCGACCCCTACCCCGCCTTCCTTCCACTACAGACTGATACACTCTTGAAGTCATTCTGTTTTGCTCCATTCTCTCTACATGTCCGAACCACCTCAACAACCCTTCCTCAGCCCTCCGGACAACAGTTTTGGTAATCCCGCACCTCCTCCTAACTTCCAAACTACGAATTCTCTGCATTATATTCACACCACACATTGCCGTCAGACATGACATCTCCACTGCCTCCAGCCTTCTCCTCGCTACAACATTCATCACCCATGCTTCACACCCATATAAGAGCGTTGGTAAAACTATACTCTCATACATTCCCCTCTTTGCCTCCAAGGACAAAGTTCTTTGTCTCCACAGAATCCTAAGTGCACTGCTCACCCTTTTCCCCTCATCAATTCTATGATTCACCTCATCTTTCATAGACCCATCCGCTGACACGTCCACTCCCAAATATCTGAATACATTCACCTCCTCCATACTCTCTCCCTCCAATCTGATATCCAATCTTTCATCACCTAATATTTTTGTTATCCTCATAACCTTACTCTTTCCTGTATTCACTTTTAATTTTCTTCTTTTGCATACCCTACCAAATTCATCCACCAACCTCTGCAACTTCTCTTCAGAATCTCCCAAGAGCACAGTGTCATCAGCAAAGAGCAACTGTGACAACTCCCACTTTATGTGTGATTCTTTATCTTTTAACCCCACGCCTCTTGCCAAGACCCTCACATTTACTTCTCTTACAACCCCATCTATAAATATATTAAACAACCACGGTGACATCACACATCCTTGTCTAAGGCCCACTTTTACTGGGAAATAATCTCCCTCTTTCCTACATACTCTAACTTGAGCCTCACTATCCTCGTAAAAACTCTTCACTGCTTTCAGTAACCTACCTCCTACACCATACACCTGCAACATCTGCCACATTGCCCCCCTATCCACCCTGTCATACGCCTTTTCCAAATCCATAAATGCCACAAAAACCTCTTTAGCCTTATCTAAATACTGTTCACTTATATGTTTCACTGTAAACATCTGGTCCACACACCCCCTACCTTTCCTAAAGCCTCCTTGTTCATCTGCTATCCTATTCTTCATCTTACTCTTAATTCTTTCAATAATAACTCTACCATACACTTTACCAGGTATACTCAACAGACTTATCCCCCTATAATTTTTGCACTCTCTTTTGTCCCCTTTGCCTTTATACAAAGGAACTATGCATGCTCTCTGCCAATCCCTAGGTACCTTACCCTCTTCCATACATTTATTAAATAATTGCACCAACCACTCCAAACTATATCCCCACCTGCTTTTAACATTTCTATCTTTATCCCATCAATCCCGGCTGCCTTACCTCCTTTCATTTTACCTACTGCCTCACGAACTTCCCCCAGAACATGTATAATACAATATTTGTTTGGATTTTTGTGGGCAGTATATATTTTAGAACTATTGAGGAAGTGTTCTACTTCATAAGTTATATTATAGCTGAGACTCTGCTCTCTTTTGAAATTTGTGTAATTAATGGCATCCATGAGGCTGTTAATTAAAATATCAGTATGGATTCTAAAG